TTACTCTAATTTTAAATTAAATTTATGTTGCGATTAATAGATATAGTTATTTTATTTTACTTTTTAATTTATACATCTATTTTATTTTTATTTTATTAATTTATACATGTTGGATTGACAAACAACTTTTTCAATTTTTATTGCCTAATTTAGAATTTCTGATTTGGAAGTTCATTGTAGATAAGGTAAATTACTTTATCAGTAATTGTACCGATTAAGAATTTAAATCAGTAAAAAATACAAATAAAGGTTAATATAAAAAATTAGAATAGATGTTCCGAATTAGGAATTGTGATAAAATAAATTGTAAGATAATTAAGATTATAATAACAATATAATTGTGATAAGATTTTTGTTTACGTAATTTGATAATCTATAAAAAATTTGCTGTTATTGTTTTTTTTTTTCTTTGTTGTTTTCGTTTCTCTCTTTTTCACAGCTTGTTTTTTTTTTTAAAAGTTAGTATTTTTCTGTTTCTTATTTTTTTATAATACTAGATGATTAATATACTAGTTAAAGTTAAGAACTTTTGTACTCTCTCAGCAAGATAACTGGGGTCTTGTTCATTGAGTACATGGATAGTGACTTTATGAACGACCGGTTCGTCACTATTCACCTTTATGTGCACATCGATTTCTAAGTTCTTAACTAATGATAGAGTTTGTTATTATTATGTTTTTTATTGTTTGCAAACAAAATTAATAGCTATTATTTTTTTTTTTAGAATAGAAAATAATTCCTTAGAACAAAATATCGAAACAGTTATCTTTTCGCTTCTTGAAATAAAGAAAAAAATAAAAGAAGTACCAAAAGAATCTCCATGTCATGATTGTAATAAACTTAAAGAAAATTGTAAAAGCGCGTTTAAAAAATATAACAAAGGTTTATCAATTGTCAAAAATATTGTTAAATTTCAAAAAGAAGTTGAAGAAACAAATAGCGAATATTTTAAATTGAACAAAAAATATATTGCTCTAAAAGAGAAATATGAACCGGTCGATGATTAATTTTTTTTAAAAAAATTGTTTTTTTTAATTGGTTTTTTTGTTTTTTTTTTAAAAATATAATTTTTTTTGTATTTTTTTTTATTTTTTAATGTTTTTTTTTTAATTTGTTTTTTTTTATAAGTTTTTATTAATAAAAATAAAAAAAATAATAATTAAAATAAAAAATCTTATTAATATTTTGTAAAAAAATCATAAAAAAATAAAGATTAAATAAAATAAAAGAATAGTAAAGTTTAGCATCAGCGCAGTGGCTTAAAGCCTCACGTGGATCAAAAAAAAAAGTGTGGTGGTGTTTGTTTTGAAATTTTTGTCCGTCTATAAAGAGTTATTTATTAAATTTTTAAATAATTTCCTTTGTAATCTTGTTTTTTCTCTATATTGAATATAAATTTTGTTTAAACAATATTCAAATCTAATAATCGGTTCTATTAAATTTGGTTTGAAATAATATTTAGTTATATCAAAATTATTTTGAAATAAATAAAATTTTTCTGTTAATTTGATTATATATAATTTAGGATCATGAGAATTGATAATTTTATGAAGAATTGTTCTGTATTTCTTGAATAAATGATTTGATCTCAATATTTTACTTTGTAAACAAACATCTAAAATATTTTCTAACTTTTCACAAATAACTGAATCAAAATTAGAATCAATCGATAAATTTTCTTCATCGGATAAGAGATCTAATGAAGTTTTATATGTTTTGTTATATTTTTGTTTGATCCATTTGGGAAGTTTCTCAAAATTGATTGTTTTTTTTAGTTTTTTTTTAGGAATATAATATTGTGACGAATCAACTTGTCTTGAAATATGAACAAAATATTTTTCTAATTTAATTATTGGAAAAAGTAGTTCAGGTTTTTCTTAATATAAATGTGGTTTGAATTTGTATTTACTATATTTAATAGATAAATCAATTACATATTGATTTGAATCTGAAGAACTTAAAATTTCTTCACGTATTTGGTTATATTTTAGAACAATTTTGTTATTGTGTAAAATTTTTAGCTTTTGACAATAAAATAGTATCATATCAATGATTTGAATAAATTTTTTATATAATTCGAAATTATCTTTTTCTGGTAGATATTTATCTGACTGCATTAAAGATTCAACTAGATCCCAAATATCTTTTTTTGATTTTCGCCAAGACTGAATTTTTGATTGAATATCTGAGAATTTTGCATATTTTAAGCTTCTGTTTTTTTTTGTTTTCTAAATATTCTTCATGTCGTGCATATATTTTTTTAATATAATATCTATCTAATTTATTTAATTTTTTGAATTCTTTTTAATTTAAATAACGTAAAGTCATGTTTAAAAAAAAATTATTTAATAAAGTTCAATTTAGCTGTTTTTATAATTTATTTGATTAATAAAGAATATTCTAGAACAATACTAAAAAAATAAATAAAGATCATATAATACAAAAAAAAACTAATTTTTAAACAAAAAAATGAATCAACCACCAAAAATAACAGACGATGAAATAGTAAATGCAGAAAATTCTAGACTGCAAACAAAAAATTTTGAATTGCTTCAAAGAATTATCGCATTAAATGGTGATAAAGATGAATTGATTCGTGAAAATACACATTTAAGAAATAGAAATGATGAGCTTACAAATGAAAAAAATCAACTCGAAGCAGATAATATTCAGATTCGTGAAGCAAATGAAAATCTGACACAATTAAATACTGCATTAAGAACTGTTTTAAG